CCAGTTAGGGCAGTTGGTACCTTCCAGTGGACTCACCACCCGCAGGAAGGCAACTGCTGACCCCACGACCCGGGGGGGATGAGGGGGGACATTTGCGGGGACATTTTCAGGTTCTTGGAAATAGAATATGGAGAATAAAGAATAAAGAGAATATTCTGAGGTTTAAGATTAAGGTAGGGTACAAATTAATAAGGGTAATAAATAAGATTAGGCAAACATTCTTAATGGTTAAGGTTATGGTAAGAGCTAAGGTGAAGATATGATGTCTGTGAAGTTGTCACACCACCAGTGTGTGTGCTCTCTCTCTCTTGCTCTCTCTCTTTCTGTGTCTTGTGCATACTAACCCCAGATGCACACTGTCTTTACCACACATGCACGTTTATGTTTGCTAATGTTGGAACTTTTAAAATAATTTGCAGCCTTATGGAGCTGTACACAATATGCAGAGAAATGATTACAAAAGATAGGACTAAAAAAAAACTTGTTTGTTACATACGTAACAGGAAACAGTGGTACAAAAGGTGTGACCTACTACGTGTAGATTTCTGCAAGTTTGTGGTTTAGCCCGGAGACAGGAAGACACTGTCCATCTGAAGCTGCATGGAAAGAAAACCATATCTAACACTTGAAAGACAACACACCTTCTGAAAGACCATGTAGCGAAGAGTTTCCGTTCAAAAGTGATCTAAAGCAGAAAATAACAAACCAAAAGAAAGCAAGCTTGGCCTAAGGCTCCATACCAAACAACTTAGACCGGGGGGGGGAACAAAGGCCCGCTCTAGATGCAGGTTTTTGTTCCAACAGAGCAGCAGCACACCTGACTTGGTTATTTGAATTAACTGATCTGAATCTCCAGACAGCTGATTGGTCAGTCACTGTGCTCTAGATAGGTTGGAACCAAAAACAGTTTGCCACCGCTCAAATCAACGAGAGGTTGAGAAGCCAGAAAAGATTGATTAATTAGCTCAAATCAACGAGAGGTTGAGAAGCCGGAAAAGATTGATTAATTATTCCACAATGGCAAACTTATTTTAAAAGTATTAATTCAAATGTGTTTTTTAGGCCTATCCCTGGAAGCTGTCCCAGGAGACCCTACCTCCAGGTGGCAGGAAAGCCAACGCTGCCACACGCACACATGGCTTGTTCTTGGGGCTGTCTGTTTCATGGTCCTGCTGTCAGCTTTGTGGGGTTAATCACTGTCTTTAGTCTCACTCTTGTTAGCTGGTGCCCTGGGAATATATACCTCTCTCCCTCACTCTGTCTTTGTGGGATCATTGTTCTGTACTGTGTGTTCAAGTCTGTTCGTGTGAGTCTGTTTTGTGCCTTGCGTCCAGGTCATGCTTAGTAGTTCATGTGTTGGAGAAGTCTATGCCTCGTAGTTTATGCCTGGTTCCTGTTCTTGTGAAAAAAGTGAGTTTTGTTGTTTTTGCGTGTTGTTAATAAACCTGCTGCAACTGAAGAGAGAGAGAGTCTCCTTCATGTTGCATTTGGGTCCTGCCTGTTTCCTGCTATAGAGAGATAGACAGATAGCACTTTATTAATCCCTCGGGAGTTCCCTTCGGGAAATTTAGGAAATGCCAATCACTAACAGTTGTATTAACATTAATACACAATATCAATCGCAACTGGCTGCAGGTTGGATTTTTATATTCCTAGTTCCTGTTACTCGCCACGGCTGTCTTTAACCTAATATCACATGCTTGAAATTAAATATTTTACCACCATTTTAAAAGGATACCAATGATTTTATCTGGCCCAATCTGCCACTTTTTGCATTGTTTGTGTGTTGAAGAACGTAAAGGGTATGTGTGTGTATATATATATATATATATATATATATATATATATATATATATATATATATATATATATGTATGTATATATATATATATACACATATATAAATAATATATTGTAGTAGCTAGATATATAATACCTATAAAAATAAACGCACACATATATATGAACAAACAAGAATGTGACTATTTCAAACGCATTGTAATAATGTTGACATTTATTCATAATTTATTTTTTACTGTTAATTTTACTGGAGGCTGTAGCCGATCCCTGCACAAACAACCATTTGAACATCATCTGGACTGGGAAATGCATGGGGTATTGGGAATGTGTTCAGAGCATACTTATTCATGTAAGTATAATTTAGTTCTAAAGTATACATTATCTCTCCATATATACTGCTATAGTTTAACAATACATATATATTTGGAGAAATACCTCACCTAATACAGAGCTAATGTCGTACACTGGAGTACACACAGTCATTCTCCACATTGTCCATCCGTCGTCTGGTTCTGTTGTGGACACTTAAAGCAGCATAATGGAGGTTTTCTTCATCTCCGTAGCCCTGCAAACAACACACACTATATCAGTTCACCGTGGTATGATGGTGGACCGAGGGTTAAAGAATGATGACATGGTGAGAGGTTTCATTTACCTCTTCATTTGTTGTGGAGGGAGCTGATATTTCTCTGGTTGAATCTGGTTATAAAAATTGATAATATATATTATTATTAAATCAAAGTTCCCTGAATAAAATCCACCCAGTATTAATTATAAATAAAGTGTTACCTGAACACTTGCAGCAGTTCTCTTTGTTCCTCTTAACCAGTAACACAGACAGAAAAACACTGAGGATGGAGGTGAAGGTCAAAGCTGCGTACATTAAATACGTCAAGTTCACTTCGTCTGCTGAGGAGAAAATTCAAAATCCTTTGTCTCATATATATATAATACATGCAGTACTTTAAAGAATGAACCTTGATTTCCTGACCAGTGTCTTGGAGTAACCTACCTTGAGACTCCACTTTAGTTCCTTTTCCAAACAGTATGTGTCCACATGAGGCCACAGCACAGTAGTAGGTTCCAGAATTAGAGATGTTCAGTGGAAGGTTGTAGACACAGGTGTGTGTTTGTGTGTTTGGTTTCTTCTCACACTGATCACTCCTGCCTCCACTGGTGTAAAGGAGTCCTGGCTGATGTTCTCCAGAGCTGAGGAACCAGTAAACACTGTGTTCTCCATCACAGCTGCCAGGGTGAACTGTACAGCTAAGATTCACCGAGCCTCCTGGCTGGAAGTTCTCAAACTGTGGCTGATGGACCACAGAGTGAACGGTCAACCTTGACTTCTCCACTCTCACAGTGATGGCCTCCTTGAATTCCATCAACAAATCGTGACCACTCATACAGAAGTAAGTTGCTGAGTCTGTTGGTTGAGCATCTGAAATACGAAGGTTCATCTGATCATCTTTCTTTTCGAATCTAAATCGTGGATTGTCCTTAAATTCATGGTGAAATTTTGCCACTTCTTGGAACGAATATACGGAACAGATGATTTGCGGCTTACGACCCAGTCTTTGCCTATACCAGAAAAACTGTACGTCACTGTGGTCCACCACACACGCCAAAGTCAAGTCTTCACCAACAATAGCTGAGATTAATCTGACGTTTTGTTGGTCAACTGTTGCGGTGATTAGAGCTAATAAAAGAAAAAACAGTCAAATGCACATTAATATGTTATCTAAACTATGTCATGACCAAAACACTGTAAATCAAGGTAGTCAACTCACTCATTTCTCCTAAGAGCAGACAGAGAAGGTAGAAAGCCCTGTTTAAAGATGACATCTCTCTGAAATTGTGGTAGCCAATGAGGGCAAACTACTTTTTTCTCCTCTCTGCAACAATTAGCGCTTTCCATGATTGGCCGGCTGAACAGAACTGGTCACATGCTCAAAGCCTTTTATGGTGCGTTTCCAGGAATCACGTGATTGGATTAACCTAGTACTGTAATAAGAATTACAACAGTACTAGTTATAACAATTTCTCTTAGTTTAGGTTAGTGCTCTTTTGCCAGAGTTCAGAAATGTATCACAACATTTGTGTTTGCTCAGAATCAGTCAATATTATTTTGGAAAGATTTTTTTTTTTTAAATTAATTTAGTAAAGAAATATATAAATATACCAATGACAGTATGTGATACTGTATATACAATTTGTCGACTGCCTGTTTCGTATGGCGTGTTCCTGAGTCTTTTGACCAAATTGTTATAGTTTTGAGTTTGTGCTTCCTAAAACAGAGTCACAGACCAAAACAGATTCACAGACTCCAAACATATCAGACTTTGGAAATATAACAAGTGATTTAGACCACACGTAGAAAACAGCAGCATTACTGGAGATGATGGTAGCCTTTATATTGAAGTACAGTAGTACTGCAGTAGAAATGTAGTAGACATGTACATAGTAGGTATTACACAATTACAACAGTAAACATTGAGCTCTAACCTTCCTTCATGCATGGGTTCTATACGCTGAACTTCTGAACAACATTTCTTTCTTTAAATATATGAGTGAAATACAGTTGAACTCATGCAAACAGTCACAGTTGTAGTGGAAAACAATGCAAAAAAGTATAGTTTAATGGATGGTAAAAGGCAAGAGAGAATTCACACCTACATCCTCTGTGAAACCACAATGAGACTTCAACAGAGAGCAGAGGTCGGTTAACACAGAACTGGCCGAGCCTTTGCAAAACTGCAGACCACACTGTTATAAGACCACTTCTCACTGCTGACAAATATTTTCCAGTACACAAAACTACTTGTTTTGTGTACTGGAACATTATGTTACATAAACATTATGTTATGCTGGTAGCTACTCTGAAGGATGATAGCACAGATCCGCTCATGTGATCACCATCTTTACTCCGTCGTTCAAACATACATCTGTACACACTTCTTTTCCTCTCTCCACCTCCAGATCCACTGCATGTTATGAACACAACAGATTAGTTCACGGCAACAGTTACCACGAACCATCGTGGTTAGTCACGTGATTTTCTGTGATGAATGGCCATTAATGACATCATTGTGTCCAAAAAGTTCTAATAGATGTTCAAAAGTTCTGCTTGATAAAGCTCTAATGTGTAAATCACTTTAAACAGAAATGCTCTCCAACTGAATTTGATGAAAAATGCATTTAAGTGAAGCTTTAGACTCCAGGTACTATTCTAACTGCTTCATGTTGGTTTTTCTTTCTTCTTTAGAAGATGCAGC